TTAACTGACTGACTAATATTGACTGACACAGAAATGATATTGTATTAATGGGAAATGTTATGCTTTTATTTTACATAATAATTATCCCAAAGATTATTCGTGATATTTTCCAAACAGTTTTTGAATCAAAAATTTAGTCCTAGGAAGTTTAATCAGATCAAAATGAAAAGCTCGTAGCAACTTTCTCTCTATACTTCTGATATTCCAATTGATACCAAGCGGATAACAAATAATTTGAAATGACAAAAACGTAGATAATTTTTAAATGAACTAAAAACTTGCAAAATGATTTTATACATGTGCAAAAGCTAAATTAATTATCATCGAAGTTAAAGCAATGATAAGAAAGGGTCAAATATCTTCAGTGATAATTAGCAGTGACTATCACTATTTCCGCTTTTCTTACCTAAATTTTCTTGAAAAAATGAGAAGGGTGTACTTCTAAAAATCATCACCTTTATTATTTATTAAGCAACGGAAGATATAAATTAATTTTAGTTGAATGCTATTAGTTTCCTGAAATTGAAATTAATGACAATCAATCTGTGTATTAGTTTGGAAACTAAATTTTTTTTATAAGTCAAAATGCTCATACATTTCTTTCCTTCCAATAATGTTTAATTTCAACGAAACGTTTTTTTCAATCGAATGTATCTGCTCAGATTTCGAACGTCACCGAGATGATAAATATTTTATAAGTACAAATGATAGCAAACATTTCCACCAATATAAATACAACAAGTTGAAACGAGGAACTAAAAAGGATGACAGAGAAGAAATAAAATAGAGAATTTAGATATTTTCAGGTTTTACAAATTTAATTATGTTTTTTTGTTTTTAGAAATTTTGAATTTTTGAATTTCTGCAAATATCAGCTACGGTAAAAGATATTTTACGAATTATTAAATTACTTTTTCAGATGTTACACTAACTTCATTTCATTTTGTTGTGAATATTATTTATGAATATTGATGAATATTGCATGAGAACGTATAAGATACTGATAAAAGTATGTCGTTCATTAACAGTAAAATCAATAATTCAATCAATTAACTAATTAGTATAAAGTGATGAATATTTATGTTAAAAAGATTAGTTTGTGTTACATGTTTGAAATAGTTGATAGATACTATCACATTTCTGTCATTAGATATCCATCAAATATCAAACTCAAACATGTAGCCATCATATATCAAATATACTACTGTCACATTTGCGCCATCAATATCGAACTCAAACATGCATGGTAAAATCAGAAGTGAAGATAGATGTAATTTGCGTATCAGAAGGAAGGAAGGAAGGAAGGATGGATGGATGGATGGATGGATGGATGCAAGTAAATATCATCAAGGAAATTAAATAGGTACTTTTGGTTGTACTCAAAAATAGGTACTTTTAGAAGTGGGAATAATTTTGATTCTTCAAATACAACAAGAAATTAACAAAAGTTCAAAATCGGACTACAACAAAGATAAACCTCATTTTTAATATAATTTAATAGTAAGCTTTTCCTTCCATTCAAATATTTCATTTCAACTTAATACTTAATTTTAACATTTAAAATTAATGCATTCATTGATTAAAGAACTTTAGAACACATAAAGCAATATCATTGAGGATAAGATGAAAACGATTAAATTCATTTAGTGGAAAAAATTTCTTCACACTTTTTCTTTTAATAGAAAAGAGAAAAAGATTCGTTTACAAAATAAAGAAATAGTGTGAAATTGCATAAAGTTGGACGGTTGGTTGCAAATAATTATGTAAGGTCCTTTTTTCTTATCAAAGAATTTTCAAAAATTAGCACAGCTGATAATTATTGCAAAAAGAATTTAAATTACCTTTGAGAATAGAATAGATAGAAGGAAAAGTAAAATTAGTATCGTTGAGGAAGTGAAATTAAAGAAAAAGGAAAAAATAATTTTCTCAAAGGCTTTTATACATTTTCAACAAAGCAATTTTAGTTTGATTAAAATTGCTTTAATTAAAAATTCATTTTTAAATATTAATTCGTTTGCAAAATTTAAATGAAAGCCAGAAAATAATAAATGAAGCCATTTTTCATTAAAAAAAAAAATATTTCGTAAAAAAAAGAGAGAGAGAGAGAAAAAAAGACAATTTTCATTTTATCATTGAAATATTACGGCTATTTTTAAAGATGATCATTTTAGCTAAGCGAAAGAAAACTCGAAGTAAGAAGAAGACACAAACTATTCTTTTCTTCAATTATCAAATCTAATAAATTATAAAAAGGTTATTATCAGTTTTAAAGTTGGGAACAAAGCATATGCGTTTAGCAATGAACTTAGTATTGATAATTAATGATAATTTTCGTAAAACAAGTCATTGGTATTTGAACAATTTAAGTTATCACTTAATCATAGTTTTTTTTTTTACTTCTTTTCAATTTTTAAATGTAATAAATTATAGAAAGGTTATTATCAGTTTTAAAGATAAGAATAGAGCATATGCGCTTAGGAATGAACTTCGTATTGATAATTAATTGATAATTTTCGTAAAACAAATCATGTATTTGAACAATTAAGTTACCACTCAATAATAGTTTTTTTGTCACTTCTTTTGATGAGTTAATTTATTCGACAATATGTGACTACTCTTATTTCATTCTTTGTTAAGTTTATTTCAGAAGTTAACTTTAAGTGCGAACAGTAGAAAGAATTTTGAAAATGCTTTGAATCATGGATATCCAGACAGTATCATTTTTTTATCTTTATACACTTCGAATTTTTGCGAAATTTGTAATAGCAATTTCATTGAATACGAAAATCCTTTAAGGTCGATAATATCACAGATATGATAGAGTAAAGTTTCGGAAAACTAATAATTAATAAAGTATTTTAGAACTTCAAATTTTTTCGCATCAAAGATTTAAGTTTTATGAACGAATATGCTGCATCAAATTTATGTATGGGAATAGAGTCTATCGCAGTACCAATCATCCATCTAAGTCTATTTTTTCTTCTCTTCAGAAGATTTTTCTATACTTAGAGAATAAATCACTCAGAAGTTTGCTCTTCAAGGAATTCTTCGCAAAACTGATCAATTGTTAAATATTTGGTAAAAACTTTCCACTTCTCCAACCAACCAAATAAGTACTAAAATATGACATCTAAGTTAGATAGCAATTTTAATTAATGCTTTTGTTTTTAATTTGTTAAATTTTATTATTGCTATTCACATTTAATGTGTTATTTTTGTTATTAAATATAATGTTTAATTTAGAAAAAAAGTGGTAATGAGGTAATAATCAGGTTTAAATTATACATGTATAATAATATAAAGGTAACACATTTGAAATGAATTTTATTAAGATTGCATAGCGTATCGAATAATTTTAAACCTGTCTAAATCTTTTATTAAACAAAAAGAATAAAAAGGATTTTAAAAAACAAGAAAAAAACAACTATAATAAAAGTAATTAGAATTTCTGTTGACGAAAAAATGGGATAACCTGAAATGATATAGTCTAAAATTGCATAAAGCTAAATAGTGACTCTTCTTGTGATCCATTAGGATGATGGAACAAATCTGGCCAGAATAAGAAAGCTTGCACAAGAAAAGCCTTTTCTATAAAGAGTCTTTGAAAAAATGTTGGTTTCTCATTTACAAACGCTAAAGTTTCCAACGATGATAGCACAGAGAAATTGACAGATATGTCTTAGAAATGAGAGGAAACAAAATTGTTCTTTTGTTAATATCATTCAGAAGGACCGAATTTTTTCTTCCGCTTTTATGTTTTATACTTCAAATAATAACTTCCAAACAGAAGTTATTGATGAGAAGCTCTCAGATGACGATGATGATGTCGTTGTAGCAGAGGCGATATTGAAGTTGACAGGTTTTCATTTCCTTAACTTGTTGTTGTTGATAATTTACTATTTCTGTGATAATTTCTGCTTGAATGATTCATTCGTTTCTTTTTTTACTTTTATTGTTGTAAAAATTAGTTTATTAACTATTAAAGAAGAAGTTCAAAGTGTTATTATGAATAGAAGCAAATGAGGTTTGAGAAGTAATAAGAAGTTCTTTTATATTTATTATTTACTCTTTAAGAATAGGATAACTAATTGCTTTGGAAGAATTCAGTACGATTCAGATATCTATAAAAGGGATAAAATCGAACAGATAGATGCTACTACTTTTATTCTTTCATTAATTTCTGCACTATGTTTTTCAAAAAAATAAATTTGATTTTCATTTCAATTTAAATTTTATTAATTCAAACTAATTATTACTTCTATTCTCTTAATATTTCTATTTGTTTGAGTTTATCAAAATTGAAAGAAGAAAAATATAATTCGTACAAAATAATACTTCACATTCAAGTTTGATAACGGATCCGTTAATAAAGTTGATTTGTTAACAAAACAACTTTTTATGTTGACAATACTATAAAGTTGATTACCACTTGGCCAGAAATATAAGAGCTCAAAAAGCATTCCATCCTTTCATAAGTTATAGTTATAGTTCCACTGCTTTATTTCAAAGCAACTCGAAGTATATTTTTCGTTTTACTTACTGTAACAGATGTAGCAGCCAGTAGATTATCAAAATTAAAATTTGTATATTATAAAGCACGAAGTATTAATTACATTTAGAAAGGATAATGTTTCACAAATGACAATCTGACCTCTTATAAGATCAAGAATAGAATATTTTCATATCAACATTATTGCGTTTCTTAACAGTAAGATAAGAATAATGAAATTGTGGTCGCAACAACATTATGGTAAAAACGACAATGAGGTAGCATAAATGTGGAAAATTCAATTAGCTGGAAATAAAATCCTAATCTCCTTTCCTAATTTTCTTTTTTAATCATAATTTTCTTTTTTATTTAACTATCAATTTGATTGAACGTACCGACAACACACATATATACATATATATATTTAACTTGACGCTTTCTTTATTCATAATCTTATATGATATATGAAATAAATTTGAGAAATTGTTTTTGATACAGTTGTATTTGTAAACTATTGATAATTATTAAACGGTGATGGTGGTTGTTCAGTGCTTAATTGCATTATACGATCATAATTCAACTGGGATTCATGTATTTCAGATTTCTTCGATATTTCCGCCAATTGATAATGTTCTTGAGCCCAACGCCAAAAGCATTCTTTTATATTTTCAAATCGTTCGAAACATGGTAGATATGATACATCAAGCATAGTCTTATTTTGCATCCTCTGAAACATATTTTTAAATTATCAGTATGTGTGGAAATGTGTGGAAGATGCTGGATACCATTCAACTTTAAAAGTTCCTTGTTTCATGGATTAAAGCTCAACAAATATATTTGCATTTTTTTATTAACACATTCACAACTATAAAGTCCATAAGACAAACTTATTGGATGTTTGTATTAAATTAATGAAGTGAAACCTGATCACAAAATACTAAGCATTTCTGTCCTGCAACTGTTGTTGTGACCCCATTCATAGCACAACATTGTCGATGATCATGACCCTGTGCTGCACAAAAATGGATATCAGTAGCTAATGGCAAGGGACATGGATCCACTTGCAACAACATTCTTCGAAGCTAAAAATGATGAGAAGTTTAATTTTTCAATTATTTTATAAATAGATATATTGTAAATAGCTCAGGTAGCTTTTTATAAATGCTAGAAATGAATTTTCAAGTTATAGATCAATAAGTGAATTCTCATAGAAGAGATTTAAAGCAATCTTCCTTTAAATGATAAGATGGTCCTGTTGATCCTACATGTTTCCTATTTATTACTGTGATCTGCTTCTACCGTAATTAAAATTTCTTAACATTTTTTAATTCAAAACTAAGGAGATACAGAGTAATACTGGAATCAATACTGGAATAAGATGCTTTAATAAGTTGTGAAAACATTGGAAGGATATTAGATACTTACAATATTCCGATCATAATTTGTATAAGAACATTTCCGCAAACATGCTTCTGGCAATCCTCGCTTACGACAGCATTTCAAAAATTCATCACTTTCATTACTGATCTAAAGAAATTTCTAAATTTCACTAACTCATCAGAAAAATTTACTTTGCTTTCTTGTAAGTTAAAGAAATTTAACAAATAGGTGCTTGAAATTCTTCCAAGGATATCATCATTTCTCAAACTCCTATTTTAAAATTTTTCTGTGCAAAACTTTCTAGCTATCTTAGAGAACTCTGGCTTCAAATTTGAAATTAAGCTTAAATATGTCTCAAATTCTATCATTTCGTGGTATGGTTTCCAGTTTCTAATCAACCAATGGATGAAATTTTAATCTCTTTAGCATTTAATTTTCAAGAGAAAATTGTCATTCATTTTGCACAGCTCTATTTTTGCATAAGACTGGCGGCACTAAAAAGGAAAATTTAAGTCTAGAATGACAAAAATTGTAAGTTTAATTAAAATGTAGAACCGTGGAAACTGTGGGAGATTTCATTTGATCATGCTGAAGATGAGGCGGCAATTCATTATTAATTCTTTCTCCCTCATATCGTACTTGCATCGGTTTTGCCATCTATAAGAAAAATGTTTGAATTTAGTAAATTCTTAATTTATGATTTGTTTTTAGAAATTTGAAATCCTGTTTTTTTTTTTGAGAGTCTTTTATCTACTTTTTAATTCCCACTATATTTAAAATTTAGGCTTAAATTTCAGATAACAAATAATGGAAAAGTAATACTTCAATTTGTAGTTGCGATCGAATTCATAGGAATTTCAATTAAAACCTACATGTGGTTCCGCGCAAAACTGATCCATATAACACTCGCGAAAACCAAAACTACTCTGACCAATGCACTGAAATACCATCATAATAATGATAAAAAATTTATCATAATTCTACCTGACCAATAAACTGAAATACAAAAAATCGTAATAATGATAAAAAATTTATCATAATTTTACCTGACCAATATACACTGAAACACGAATCATAATAATGATTGTACTGTAATATGAATTATAATAATGGCAAAAAATTTATCAAAACTCTACCTGACCAATAAACTGAAATACGAATCATAATAATGATAAATAATTTGTCAAAATTCTACTTCATTAATTACCCAAAAAATAATGTTTTATTTTTTTAAAGAATTGCGCAGTTAAACTTGTTGTTTGAAGAACTAAACATCTATTCGGTAAATTGTTGAAATTTAATTCTGCAAATCCTAAATTAAATCGTAATTTTGAATTTTATAGTATTAATATTTTCCATACCGTTTTTATTTTGCTAGAGAAACAGCTAAGACGAAAGTTATCATATCAAATTTACTTTAAGCAAATGGTAAAACAAAAATTCAATGATGCATATAAACTTACAGCATAACTTATCCGATAATTTAGCAGTAGTAGTAGTGCAGTGATTGCAACTACTGATAACTTTTCCATACTATCACGATCTTTATTATTCTCTTAGGATAGAATATGTTCAAAAGAGAATAGATAAACTCATGAAAGAGAATAAATCAGATTATGGAATCATCATTCACCTGCAAATTTTTATTAACTACAGAATTATTCACTTCAAACATCTCTATTTCTTATTTTTGAGATTATCGCTGAAAAACCCATTTTGTTGTGCATTGCTTCTCATATTTATTTATTCACCTTCCATTGTGAATTTTGATCATTATTTCATTTTCATATTTCCAAATATCATTTCTTGTTCTAATTAGCCCAAGTCGTGAAGTTTCATAGTTTGAAGCTGTTTCATAGTCATTTAATTGGCTTTCTTAGTTTAATGAGCTATAAAATATGAGATCAAACCAACTTACATACAACAATATTCATTTATTTTACCATAGTAGATACCAATTAAACCGAATATAAATTAATCAGCTTTGTTTTATAATAGCAATTAATTGACGAAAATTAAAAAATAAAATAAATGTATGGCTGTGAATTGAAGTAGTGATTGATGAATACGATATGAGCGGATATGTGAAATCGTTATTCCACTTACCTTATTTTATATTTGCTCTGTAACAATTTGATCTTTATAAAAGCAAATATCGGCTAAAAAGGGAAAGTTTGCTGATATATATGCAATCCATGATCGATGGATATTAGATATTGTGGGATAGATGGGATAGGTGGACTAACAGACAGGTTATCACGATTTCTCCAATTGCTAACTAGTTTATCCTCCCTCTACAGAAAACTTATCCCTCGTTAAGTATTGAGATTGAGAAGAGCAGACAGGAAAATCGAAAAACCGGCATGCCGCATCCAAACTCAATCAAAATCATTGGGACATCTTTCACTTTTTCATTATTTGTTTACTGAATAGGGACCTTCAAGAGGGAAATGTAGGATGTCTAATAATAGAAATAATTTATCCAGCTATGAACTTCTGCTTAACATGTTGACAGTTCTTTTCTTCTACTTCATTAAAATTCCCGGAAAGTGTACAGCATATCATCCAATCATTGATAAATGATTCTGTTGCTATCACTGATCGAAACGTACACCGAACAATTTCAATCTCCGACAGATATAATTCATTACGAGTTGATTAGAATTTATAAAAAAAAGAAAAATGTGAGAAAAAGCTAATTAGTTATGTAATTTCAAATAATACTATATTTAGCAGGACGAAAATTTGTAATGCAACAATAAGAATGTGTCATTACACAGGTAAGACTGTAACAGTATTCTACCTAGTTTTTCCCTTCCTCCCACGCTTGCCCTTCTCTGTTTCTTTATTCACTTCTATCACCAGTAGAAATAGTTTCAGCTATTTAAGTTTATTAAAGAGAATAAAAAAGATCAACTCAAAACTTTCCTATTCTCTCTGTAATAAACTTTAGCATATCCCTTCTTGTTAGTTATACGGTGAAATTTACAATCCTTCAATCAAATTTTAATGAACATTACTCGACGAAAGTTATTGAAGGCTTACAAAATATTTGAATCAACACAGAGAAAAAAAAAATAGAAAATTCCATACTTCCGATTTCAAAAGTCAGAGGTCACATTTCAGATATGCAGGCAAGGTTGAGGGTTTTTCTTTATATTTGATAACAGTAAAAGGGAAAGCATTCTTAGCATTCTAATATAATCAGCACAAAGTTTCACATCGGCTATAAAAAAATGAAAAAAACACATATCTCAGAGAACATTCAAAACCGAATCAACAAAAAATTATGATAAATCAAATACTTCGAACAAAAAGACTCGGAAATACAATATCTTTATAAAGCTTTTATGTAAATAAAATCAAGTAAAACGAAAAACTGTCTTGGATTAAATCTTTTCCCTTTCTCCCTTCCAAAGATTTTATGCAAAAAAAGTTTAAAAATTATGTCTCTCTTAAAATAAGAATAGAACTAAACAGTAGGACAAGTGTCGATTTAACCCTATTCAAATGCGAAATGCAAAAGATTTTGATCATGAGGCAGTTTTTGGTGCAACAAATAATTTCATGGTTTATGATCAGATATTGGCCTATGATGCCTCGAAATGAAAAGAATATCGGATTATCGGATTGATTAATTAATCATCTGTAACATACAAAACGACAAACAAATTGTAAGCAACCACCGGTATTTATTTTTTTTCAAACATCCTTGACTTTCATAACTCTTTCAAGTTTAATAAATTGAAACAGCAAATCAGAAAAAATATATCATCAGTGACGCCCACAGTAATCATACTATTTATTGAATTATATGTACTAGGAAAATTACTGACTCGTTTGCTATTTCAATATGGGACAAGTTGATATTTTACTTGTACAATTTTGAAACACCTGACGATTAAATGAAACAACATGAACTATTTAATGCATATGCAATGCTGAAGATCAAACGAGTATAATGAGATTCGTATCTTGTGAAAAAATCTACTTGATATCAGTCCTTCATGGAACGTCTGTGTCCGAAACACCTCTTATAAACAATGCTTTTCAACAGGAATATTTAGTGAACTGAAAAAAGAAAATCTCTGTTCCATAAGAGTAAAATAGAAGTGGAAAAGATCGAAGAAAAACTCATTACTTATTTTGAAAAAATAATTTTCTCTTCATTTAACTTTATATTTACTGTAAAATTCAGTTTTTATGGAAATCCCTGACTCTTAATAAATCTCTAAACAACATCAGTTTAAATACATACTTGTCTGATACACTCCCTCCTTTATCAGTTTTTGATGCAGAACCGAATTTAGTTAATTTGGTCTGGTTACCGGCGAAAAGATTGGATGTACGTAGGATTGACAAATCAACATCATTCACTTCAACCAGCTTCAGAGGATGCAATCGAAAGGAATGAGTGGCAGACGAGGAGCAGTATAACTGTAGAAAATCAACTACATCATCCTGAAAAATGATTTCGAGGAATACCAAAAAAAAAGTGGGAAAACAAGATAGTTCTAGTACTTAAATATAGACTTTAATGACGTTTGAAATAAATGAAACACACCAGTAAGGCTCTCTGTATGGTTCGATGAGTAAATCGCTCGATAGTTAGCCGCAATGTTGAAGGATGCAAATCAGAATTTGATGAACCGACAACAATTACTCCTGTGGGAGCTGAAAATTACAAGTCAATTTCAGTAGCTTTTATTTAAAACTAATTTAAAATATATATTTAAAGTGTCAAGCTATATATTATACTTTAATATTCTAGAATATATAATTCTAATAAACGTGATGAACAAAAATTTCATTCATGTATTCAGCAAAAAACAGCATGCAAGTTACTTTCGCTTTTTGCAATATATTAAAAATATTTTTCATCAAAAATTATAATCGATGCTGCAGCAACGAACCAATCATTCTCGTTGCCATAACCTGCAGTTCACGGACATCACAATCAGTAGCTTGATCCCCAATAACAAATAATGTTGGACAATATGTGAGCAGTATATCATCGTCAACATCCTAAATCATTGATATTTCTGAATTGTTCCCAGAAACTCAAGCATGTTAACGTGTTATACCTTTTAACTGCAACAATCGAAAATATTGTAATAGAAAGATTATATATATAAAGTTTCAAATTAAAATAATCCAAGCAATCGAAACTTACACCCCGTGGTCCATCGGCTGTTTTCATTGGAAAGGCAAAATTGATGATAGCGGACACATTTGGCATAGACTGAACAACCTGAAACATAATGACATTTAAATCAACCGAAAATCTCTCATTCATCAAATACAAGAATTGTACGTTTCCAAACACAAAACTTACTTGATGATTTATAACACAAGATGTTCCCCAACCGACCAAAACAATTTTAAGATCTGGATATTTTCGATGTACTTCCACTACTTTACGTGATACCAACCGAATGCAGTGGTCAACAGCTTCACATATAGACATATCTTGTGTAGCTGGTAAACTCAGTCGTACAGGCTCCACTCTATCCGCTACATTAGGAAGTAGAACTCTAAAAAAAAGACTGCAAGGTTAAATTATGGAGGTTCCGTGACAGTAAATCGCCAGAATTCGAAGTGACGTATCATAAGTAATAATAGACAAAAAATCTCCGAAAGCAGATTTCAAATCGGCACTTTTAATAAAAATCAATATAAACCAAAAAACACTTACCGAAACATGTATTCATGTGCTCTCGATCTTGAACGATGTTCAGCATGTGTGAAAGTCGGTGAAATGGTCAGCAAACAAATATTTTTTGCATGCCTTTTCTGGAAATTTTTTTATATTTCGGAATCTCTTATAAAATTAATAAATTCTAGGAAATCTCATGCTTGAAATCTAACACCTATTATGGTTCCGAATAGAATAGAAGACATATTCTCTACTTTTTCGTTGATATAAAAATGTAGTGTACAGAAAGCTAGTAAGGAAAGAAAGCTAACAAAAGCATTAGCCCAATGTATCCGACATGAATTTCAATAAAGAATTCTTACTGTAAGCGTTTTAGAGATAGCAGTAGTTTGTGGATCAAGCACCTTTTCAGAAACAAAGTCATGAATATAACTGTTCACTTTATTTAGAATTTTGTCAGTAGTGTTTTGCTCCAGAAGAAGGTCCAGCAGATGGAGTCCCTGGAAATATTTTAAATTTGAGCGCAGAAGTTACGAAAAGCAAAAAAAGTTCCTGTAGCTTATCTGAATTCACTTATTTGGAAAAAAGGTAAGATTTCATGAAATTAAGGAACATTTTTCATCCGGATGTATAAAGATCCAAAAAAGAATTCCTCGAAGAGAAAAGTTCTGTGTTTGGCTACGTGGGATTTTTTCTGACATGATAAGAAAAGCCGAAGTCCATAACTTGAACATTTCAAATTATATCCTAACTGTCCTGTAAACAACTCATATATTACTAACCATTATTTTGCAAAACCTCAACAAATCGATGTAGGTAGCCAACATAGGTACAGCCAAATGTTTAAGGAATATTTGGTGTGCCCATTTTGCGTTTTCGCGCTGACCCTGAAATAAAAGAATATTAATCAGAAAGTGCATACAGGACATATAAGCTATCGTAACTAAGAAAGATACATACAATAACATCGATCAATGAAGTAGAGCACATCAACAGTGACTCATAACTAATTACTTCCTTTTGTTTGAAGTTCCTAAATCAATTAATACATTAAGCTCTAATAAAGCTTCCCACCATATGAACAAAACATTGAGATTTTCTTGGGTTTTCTAGATGTATTCTTACTAAATCAACAGAAACCAAGCAGTATATTAGTTCCAGAAATATTTTGGTTAAATGTGTGCACCTTAGTGAATAGCAAAACTTTATCTCTCAGTCGGTGGGAATTCTTCACCATTGTATTGTAGCGTATTGAAGCACCACCAAACACATTTTGGGATGATATCTCGGAGCAATACTGAGCCGAGACGACAGTCAACATGTCATTCAGCAAACGCTTTCGGTCCAACAATTCGCTCGTAAATCTGAATTAATATTTAACAAAGTTAGATCAAAAATTTCTATAAAACAATCAAGTTCACAGCTGAATATATGCAAATAATTAGAAAGCTTTTCAAAAATTTCAAATTGTTCAAACAGACAATCAATAACATCATCCACAGCTTGTGAAGATTTGGTTCCATTCCAAAAGTGTAAAAAAGTTGAAGAAGTTTAAATTATGCAGATACATTGTTCTGACGTTGTCTAACGTCAGCAGATATCCACGGTCAACATTTTCAGCTCCCAATTCATCTTCGTTATCCATTTCTGGTCTCGGTATGATCTTGTTGATTTCAAGTGCTACACTGATTGCTAAACGACTGCCTAGAGCCTCATCATCACCTTCAACGGTTAATCTTGAATCCACATCCACAACTACATCTCCGCTATCTTTTTTTAGATCATCACTGAAATCACAAAGTTTCAATCACCCCTAAAAGATAACAGACCCCTTCTACTTTTCACTCAATTAGATTTGATACTATCGTTTGAAATAAAACAGATTACGATAAACAAAAAAGACAATAAAGAAGAAAAACAAGTAACAATTGCTCTTTTTCAAACAACTTTAACTCATCAAATAACGCCTAAAACACGCCTAAATAACCAACTTTATTAGGGCCCAAACGGTATTGAGAACCCTCGAGAAAATACCGTTCTAATAAAGTAAAAAAAAACCACAGACTGTAAAATAAATACAATCACAATTAAGACTGGTCGCTTGAATATAATAAATCAACCAACAAAAAGAACACATCTTGCCTTCCGAAAAATTAACTAACCCTCGCAACAAGATTTCTCGATAGAAAAATGATGGATTATCGTCGCCTGAACGACTTTTCAAACCTATGGCAAGTGGATTAAGTTTTCGACGCTGAGCAATACGTTTGAAATACGGCATGCTTTGACACAGAGCCCTAGAAATAACAATTAAAAGAAGACTGAGGCATCTGAGAGCATGCGAAAATCCTAGCATTATTATATATTACTCATTTACTTCTTATAGATGTCAAACTTATTTTAAATCTTAAGATAGGTGATAGTGCTGCTTACTTCCGAATCACATACAGCTTTTGATTTTCAAGTAATCTATTAAAAGGATTTGACTTTTTGAGAAATCAAGCAGTGAAGTCTTTCAACAATCCAACTCTTACATTTTTTCATAAGTCTGAAATCAGTAGTCACATCTTTCAAACTTACTTCTGTTTTATTTTATCGGAAGTTAACTTTGAGTCTGCTCGCTTGTTTTTCAATCGACTAGAAGTATGGATCTCATTTCCGTCTGGAATAAAATATTTTTTCGGTCAATTTGGATCAGTGGCAAGAAAAATATGCATTGAACCACAAATCTCAATTTCGAAATAATCTCACCGAGTTTTGCAGTGTCAACATCAATTGACATACTACTTTTCCGTCGTTGAACTTTTGATACTGACTGCGATAAGTTCGAAGATAACTCGTTCGTTCCTTCTGAATCTAAACGGACTCTGCGGCGACGCATACTCGTAGAGCTGATTGTAGTATCTAAAATTAATATCAATAATATATATGTAGAAGGAAAAATAGCAATTTATATAAGCAAAAACAGGTATTTGAAAAATTAACTAATCACTGTATACATTCAGCAAGTATGATATGAAATGAGAAATCAGAATTCCTGAATCCATTAGTATCTAAATATCAAGAGTGAATAGAAGTAGTTCAGACTGCCGACATGTTGTACTCGATATATTCGATTATTTAGTATGAATTACCTTGTTCTATTCCCTCAGATAATGATGGGGCATTTCCATCTCTCATCGAACTATTTGAATGCCGCCTTGTTTTTTCTCCTGAACGATGTACTTCTACAGTACTTCCGGTACCCTCTGCTTTAATCGCATCAATCAAAGGCTTCTTGCCTGCTCCGTCATAAAACCCATCATCACAATTTGCCAAATTACTGCTTCTGGGACAAGAATTGATCTGATCCTTAAGCAAATCACATAAAATGAAATTGACAACGAATATATTAAATTATTATATAAGACCTATCATTAATACAAAAATTCCGGAATACCACAGTTTAAATTTCAGTTTTGCAATAATGAAGACAAGATCGCTTATGACACAATGAATGAAGTAAAAAGCTATAAAGCAGAAAGAATTACTTTCCCTTCTCCGGAATCATAAATATTTGTGTCGAGCTCTAGTTTTTCGACACACTGAATTCTGTCATCTGCATATTTATCTAGAATATATTGTTTTTTAAAAAAATATTTTGTTTTTACAAAAGAAATTGTCAAACCACAGTTAGGAATCAATCGAAAATTTGCAAAATAATAAAAAGCTGACTGTCGGTAATAGAATTTGATCCACGTTTTCGCTTCTGTTTCGACGGTGGTAAGCACCCTGACAAGACAGCATTACCATCTTCTGCACCACTTCTGGCTTTAACAACACCATCGGATTCAACAGAGTCAAAGATATTTGATTGTGTCATTGCAGGAGTTTTGACAGTACTTGATTTACGTCGTCGACTAAACAAAGAAGGATAGAGCTGTTCATAAGAAATTGGTCTCTTGCGTGTAAATCGACCTGTCGACTCGCATTCCTGAAAACATCAGATTTAAGTATTAGATTGCTAGTTTGCTAACATGGCATTGCAAATATTTTACAATAATATATACTCTCCATTGATTTTCTGTCAAATTCTATTTCAAAAACTACTAGGTCATGTACAAACTGGCGTATGCCAGAACCATTCATTAAATTGCCGAGAGCAGAACATATAACCTTGAAATGAATGGCCTTCAAGGTTACATCTTTTGCTCTCAACGACAGTTAACAAGTAGTTTTGGCATATGTCAGTTTATAGACGGTTTAGCAATTTTGAGCATAGTTTTATATTTTTTATTTTTCCATGAATTCACCTTTGACATCTTTGATAAGTAATACCGTCACTAGAATGCTTTCTTAACTTGCAAATATGTTCTGCATTTATTTATTGTTGCACTACGGATATGTACCACTTATTTTGCTGAGCAGTGCCTGTGAACAGCAAAACTATGCTTATCTGCTATATGAATAGGATATTGTGGTATTTTAAAAAAGTCAAAAAGATCCTCTATTTGTTTAGTATACTTGATTCGCAATGTGCCGTGCTGAACGTGAATTAGTTGTGCTCTGATAAGGTACATTAGAACAAAGAAACTTTATGCTAAAAAAAGCGAAATGAGAACGAAACAGGGCCACCTACCGACTGAGGAGGTCCCGAAGACGAAAGTGATGATGAATTCAGCACGACTTTGCTTTTTTCACCTTCAACATTATTAAACCCCTCACAAATAGCTGGCGGAGTTACTATCACATCTTCCTCATTGCCGCTGCCTACTAATGCTGCTGACGGAGGTGAAATCTGCAAAAAACAGCCTCCTGTTAAAGCATGAAGTATAAAAACATTAAAAACTCCAAGATTTTAAATTACTGCAATATGTAAAACAATAAATCTTTACTAAGCTCCTTTAACTAGATATAAGTATACAAAAAGGTTCACCCCTTATATTTAGATTAAAAAGGAAATTCCCTATTTAAAAATTCAAACTGATGGACATGAAATACTAATTACATACACAACTCGGAGAGTATAGGACTGATGATTTTAAATTTGAGTTTTGTGGATATTGTGGATTAGTATCAATTTCTTTGTTATTGGATGAGCACTTTCTTTGCGCTTCTTTATTCCCCACTGATCTGTAATAAAATAGCAAAAGCAAAAATTAAAAATCTTATAAATGCTAGATATCAACCCCTCACAAGAAAATCAGAACTGATCTAAAATTACTAAAACCCTTAAAAAAATCGCAACGGACAATTGGGTCTAGCAAGTGATTCAAAATAAAAGACTACTAATGAATTTCCAAAATAATTGCTTCCCAGTATACTGCAAAAATGTCGCGATCATTAATTAGATTCTAATGAATAATTAAGAGTTAATATGAGTCCCAATCCCTAATTCTATTGGTACTTACTTCCAGATGAGAAGAAAATCAAAAAATACTGGAATTAAGTGCCTTGAAGTGCAGACCTTATTCCCTACTTTATTAAAGCATTATAATAGCATTTCTCTTTCGAAAGAGACAATTATTTATAAACAAAACCATTTTTCGAGCAACTATTCAATTTAATACTGAATCATTAAAGGTTCATGGGTAATTATGAACCGGGTGTTCTAATTGCAAATAATAAAAAATCACTTCTTCTGCCGTGCCTCTGCAGCACTATCACCAGAGGGTTCCGCTGATGTTACAAGTGATCGTTTTTTCAATGTTTCATCAAAACGATGTGCTCTACTAACAGGCAATGGCGGGGAATAATCATGCACACGAGCAGGGCGACGCTGACGTGGCTCACGTCTTTGCGGTATACGTATACGTAGCGGTGGAACACGACGTGATTCTTCCGATGCAACTGTATTTGGACGACGTAAGGGTTCCGTTATCAAGTTAACACTCAGTGAACGTGCTTCACACACCTGGTCTATCAGTCTGGCGACAACACCTGTTATAATGTCATCCGGATCTCTTTCCTAAAATATAGTATTTGTAACAAACCATGAAAATTTCTTCATAGGAAAAGTGGAAAGTTCGAACTGAGGCAGGAAACGAAGGAAATCTATTGATGGTTGAAGGTTTTGTAACAATATGTTAACTCAGACAACATAATTTTGATCTCTTGATAATCAAAACGTTATGTGAAAACTCGACCAGTCAACATGATCAAAAATGAAATAGCTACTTACTTTCTTCGCCTCAAAAAGTCGATTATCTGTATCGCGGGAATCATCTTCGTCACCAGTTTCCACAATATGTAAACGCTCACAATCCTACAAAATACATTTTATAATTTCTCGCATTTCGGAATTTCAGTCTTATATAAGGCATTGGTTTCTTTCGATTATCCATTGCAACTGCAAGCAATTTTCTATATTTTGGTGACTTTTTAGCATTCCTTACTTTGCTCTTCTACGAAAACAGAAAAGAAACTGACATCATAATCATCATCTTTTACAGCACCAGTTTGCGTTTGATCCATCATGTTACTAAACATTACCGACGTACCCGAATCCACAACTTCAATTTTTGAATTCTCATGCTGAAATGAGTTCGAGTGAAATAATTAAATTTCACAATAAATTAACTAAAGTATCACCGAAAAGATTCCGATAACAATGTTTATAATTAGGAAGAACAACAAAATTTTACAATGCACTAAGTCAATAGATAATTCAAAACAGAGCTACGTGCCTTAATCTTTTCTTTCAATGCTGCTGCAACAATATTCAGTTATTCTCGAAACTCACCTCATCAATTTCATGGCCATGACTGCCACTGTGACACACTGAGTGTGACGCACCTGCCACGTACGCTGTGAATTGCGATGCACTCGGTGCTGACTGAAATTTGGTAGAAAAATACATTACAACTTATTTCTTGTTTTGATAATCTTCAGAGAGAAGCCCCATTGATATAGTGATAACTTCTTTTTTATTTTCTAGCGCTTTACTAGGAGGAAGAATATTTTATATTACATTCGCACAACAGTGAATTCTATTCTGATTGGGACCTGCGAGTGATATACACCAACTTTTTAAGAACATTTTTTCTGCAAATAACCTTATCAAAAGCAAATTGTGGAAATTTTCCAATGATTATATATAATCACTCCCAATCCAAATCATAGAAAGAGAGCAGAATTAAAAGATTTGAATCCTTACTTCTCTATTTGAATCCTTTAACAAAGTTTCTGACGAGGATAAGGTCAAGGGAACACTGCTCGGTAAATCTGAGTTTAGTGTATTTTCACCGACAGCGGGATGAAATATAAAGCTAAAATAAACAATTATAACAAGGACAGAAATTCATAATAATAAGAGAATAGAGTGCAATTAAATTTAAGCGTAACAAATGATATTAGAAAATGCATCAGTCAATCTCCCACTGCAGTTAAAAAACTAAATCCACTTCAAAAAATTTTTGACACCATACGCCAATTAATTTTAATAGGGCTTATTGATTTTAATGTAATATATCTCCATAGCGAGCTTCTTAAAACACAAAATTGTCATTCACATGTTAACATTTTTTAAACACAAATATAAGCAATTGGTTCATTTTCTATTAAATCTTTGTTTATGTCCGTATTTATTCGAAATGACAATCGTGAACACTTATGTAAACAATGATGTCCTTTACTTCCAAAACCTAAAAAGAAAAGTCAAGTACTCCACAAGAATTCCTACTTCTTACGAGGTTTGCCTCGCTTCAATTTGATCAGCGCTGCTCTTTTCCGTGGCTTTCCTTTTGCAGTTTTTGAAATTGATATATTTAATGGAGTTGGCGATTCTTCCTTCACAACATGTCGTGCTGTTTCAGCATTTGAACTGGAAGAAAGCAATTTCCCTGTGCTTGAGTTCACATTCAATCGCTTTTGCCCTCGACGACATTTCCATGCATCAGGTAATTTAGAGATTTCTATCTCATCTTTTTTTTGCTTGGAAATGATAATGTGTTCAGTGTTCGTCGCAATGCCAAATATCGTTGAAGTTACATTTTTCGACTCATTTTCAACATCGTTTTCGGAAGACAACTGCAACGAATTTACATCGTCGGAATCTCTGCCGTCTAAAAAATTGAATTTCATATAAGGGATTTACGAAATGAAAGCTGAATAGTATAAGATGAAGATGCAAAAGAGCCGACAGAGCAAAAGCATAGTAAAGCTGTCATTTCAAATCTCTATAGTGTTATAAAATACAAATATACATTTTCCTAAACTTCGGCTTTTTCATTTTTCATGCTTACAGAACTTAAAGCTACTCAAAATGTAGAAAAACATAGAAAATTTCCTCTCAACTTTAAAAAAAAATCCAACCTTGTAAATTTATGGAAAGTGTCTCCGACTTCGATTCATCCGCAAAACGTTTTCTGTATTTCAACGTAAAGCCAGATGGCAATGAAAATTCCCCAGCTTTCAACTTGCGCAAGATATTCGTTAAATCCGACAAGTGAATTGTTTCGGTTATTCTTCTAGGACCGATCAATACTAAATATAAAATATAAAGATAACACTAAAGCTTCTCCTGTAACTGAGTATAATGCAATCGGGAGGCTTACAAGCCAGGAAGGCAATCTCGACATCAGTAAAATATGCTCTTACTTTAAGCGTTACCATTAAACGCACCACTTTTTTAATTTATTGCTCTACAGTTATCCTATAGTCTAAATATTTCTGATATCAATTATGGAATTTTGCTCTAGGAATCATTGAGGGAAGGAAAAAATATTTGCTTTATGTTTTAGAATCTTTTAAAATCAAAACCACAAGCATTTTAGTTGAATTTCTGCAATTCAAGAGAATTACTAAGTCAATGAACCGTATATTGATATTCATTTATCTGCTGGGTGGAAATATGAAAACCATAAAAGCTGGATTACTTCACTGAAGTGGTATAATATAGTTCTTATTGTTTAAATCTATTTAAATCTGTCGAAAGCCTACCAAATAAATAAGGCTGAAAGTCTCGTGTTGTCAAGATTTAGCTGGTAAGAAGATTAAAATACCAACTCTTTGTAGCTTTTCGAGTAGGTTCTGGGGAAAACTGACGTTTAGGAACGGTCAAACGAGTTCGTGAAATCGGACTGTACGAATAAACACGAGGATTTTTGCGTTTCACATCATCTGGTGGTGTAGGTTTAGTAAAAATATTGGAGCTGTCGTCAATTTTTGATGGGGGAGTTATCAAAGTCAGCGGAAGCCCCAAATCCTGAAAAAACGTATAAAACGTTGGAAACCTTTCTATCACGATCTTTCTTAGATGTTATAAATTTATAGAAAGCTTTCGCTTTTTTTTTTAATATTTATCTCTTCTATTTGCAAATGAATATAAAATTGAAAAAGAAAAAAAGCAAAATATTTCACCATGGGATCCTGCAGACGTGTATTTCCAGATCTGTCCACTGATGCAGAAGCCGTATCACTAATTGTTGAATCAGTATTCTGTAGTTTATCATCGTTTGCCACAAATACAAGCGGCGATTCTACCTTCTTCGAAACTCGACTTTTAGCATTTCCTCCTTTCCGACGTTTCCTAGAACAAACAACAAAAATTTATAAATGTAGATAAATAAACACAATGACAAGTAAGCTTATTATAAGCAGTTTAAAACTACTCCATACTTCATTTCGATTTGTGATGTCGACCGTTTTCTTTTTTCTGAATTTGCCTCTACCGTAAATTGATTATCGCATGTATCAACAGAAGAAAAAGCTGTAGAGCATTCTCCAGTTTGAAAATCTTTTTTCTGAAAATAAAATTTTTAAACAGCCTCAACAAATATGGCCCTAAATGCTCCATCTTTTGTCGACACTGTCTTCAGATACGACCTTTAATCTATTTACTGAGTCAAAGAAATTGAGTAAAAAAATCTGTCAAGAGAAAAATAACCTTGACTTGCTCGTCATATCGCACTTGCTCGCAATCAATCGCCAACATTGCCTCCAATTCTGCCAGATCCAACGCTAAAGCACTCTCCACGTCCATTTCATTCCTATCAACATTTTTGTCGCCATCCCCACGACCACGCTAAATAATCATTTGAACTTTTTTCTAATCTCCCAAACAGAATTTGCATTATTTGAGTTCTTCAGCCGAATTATTATCTTGTAATGATAAGTCAGTGGAAGAAAATTTTATAATATGCCTTCCAATCATTTACTTTATATATTATTTTACAGTAATGTAGAAAACTGAATTAGCAATCAAGAAAAAACAGAAATTAGCTTTTTTAGTTATGTCAGTTCTACTCCTCTCTTTTTATGAGTCATATCATTAATAATCATTAATAATTCTGATTGGAAATCTTGCATGAAATGATAAATATATATTAAGCATTTCATGCAAGATTAAACATCTAACGTCCTTGTTAGATGTTTAGTTTACTCACCATAGGTTTTGCGGACATTCTTCGGAGCGAGAATGACTGAAATGATGCAAAAGAGGTAATCAGTAGTGAAGCTGAATAGGGTAAATGCAAATACCTAAGCCAATACAACACAATAACATATCGAGAGAAACAACTGCAACCTGCGGGCAAGATGTAAGCTCAAGCCAAACTTTACGCCTCAAATCCAATCCTCAGAAACATTTACCGCACCATCAAGAGGAAGTCCTGATTAATTGAATGGCAATTAATGACGCAGCCGACCGACTAGACTGCAGTGCAACCCACACGATCTCACTGGTGTTTCAGCTGTGTTACAGCTATCGTTCTGTAGTAGATGTGAACGATGGGAAGAGAGTGGAGTGGGTGACGGCCGTCTTACCTAACCGATTATTAGATAATCAGGTTGTCAATGATGTAGTGGGCAAATAAATATATCAAATAGTTGTCATTGTTTAGTGACCCATGAAAAATCTTCCAGCATATTTTCAGTTTTCCAATTTGCATTCCAGACGGCATATATCGATCTTTCAATGATGTATATCCGGCTGTTCTTATCTTACTCCTTTTCATTCCTCTGATGCTCTTACCTAGGCGCCCAAGAATTCGGGAAAATACATTTTCGCACTGACACCACATCTATGTAAAACGGGGATAGGCGCATTTCGTTTTCCAACGGTTTGCATTTTGGGTCTTTCCTTCTCTTTCCAATGAAGTTTTGGTTGTTTTGATTTCATAATCTAAATGTTGTGAAATGGGAATTTCTCGATATTATTCGAATATTTCGTAAGTCAGAAAAGTTGATGGACACTATTACGCCGTATAATGAATATCGTGCCTATAGTTACAGACTGGCCTATATTTATGTTTCTATTAATGATTAAAAAACAAAAAATAAGTGGATAGATACTATATGTTGTATAATGAATATCGAGCCCATAACAGTGGATGAGAGATCTATACGTAACCGTCAAGGAACTTTTTCATCATTTAAATTTTTTAATAGCTTCAATTTCAGATGAGAAATGGGATCTTCGGGAGCAGCAATAAAGCTTGGACAAGGAGCACTGCGTGAGTTACGCATTCATCTATGTCCCACGTCGGCCGCTAGTGCTGGCGTGAGAAATTTCATCGAGAATGATTATGTACCTCTGAAGAAGGTCAATCGACAGTTCCCTATATTGATCCGAGAATGCAGTGGAGTACAACCTAAGGTTTATGCCAGGTTATATTTTCGCTATTGAGAATGAGCAATAGATTCCTTACTTTAAATAATTGAATGTTTGATTCCTTAGTTTATTTCCGGAATTATTCTGGTTACTACGACTGTGCGTGCTTTTCGTGTGATATAAGCGGGTAATATCACCTCAATAAGATAGAATATATTATCAGTTGCGCACATCACTAATGATCTTTCTGGCTATTCGAGCCGTATCAGATTGTAAGAAAAAATATGAGTTTGCCCTAGTTGATTCATTAAAATAGCATTTCATATAATTCCATTCTTCTGAGATTTGATTTTCTGTCATAATAGAGAGTTTTAGGTACAGTTGCGGTGTTGAGAAAAGTATCCCATTGGATAATATCTCGCGATACAAGGTATTGGACATTATCAAAGATCTAGTTACTGGTAAAGTTTCGTGAAATTTGTGATTTGGATATATTGGTCAATTTAGGATATTGTTACATCAAGTGCTCAATATCTCATTCTTGATATTATTTAGTTTTAGGTACTGTTTAATCTGTTTATTAGGATTCAGAACAATTATTAAGGTCAAGTAAATTACCTTAAAAAATATATGGTAGAAATATGATAGTTTGAAGAGCTGCTGTACCCCATCTTAGCGAGAAAGTACATTATGTGTATTATGAACATAGATATTTGCGCAATAGCATTTTAACATTGCAAATGAAAATATGTTTTGGTCAGATATCTGTATGAATAATCGTAAAGAATGGAGAAAGTAGTGATTTGTATAGTTTGTGTTCAATAGATTTGAGTAAATGTATGTTAGATGTTTAATAAATATATGCTCTTTGCTTATTTCAACAATAGCACATATTGCATTTAGCGAAAAAAAATACATTTAGTAAAAATATAAATTTAGCAAAAAAGAAGCTTAAAGAGCTATTGGGCTCTACCTTGCATTCCGGTGCTTTCTAGAATCTAAGTTTTTATATCTCCTCATAATAGTTGTGAAGATGCGACTGATGAGAAAGTGAGTCTATGTTTTGCGGATTATAAAAGAGATTTTCCTTGTATTATAATTATTTCTGTCAGCTTATGATTGTATAATTCCGAAATGAATTGAATTGAAGCTGTCGCTGTTGCTGGAACAACAGATATCATCAGTTCGGCGTTTGACTTTGCTGCTGCATGACCGGATGCCATATGCAGTTACACTTGTCTGGAAAATGCTAATATCTCAATTTATACTGGAATGTGGGTGGGGGATCGTCTTTATAAAAAATCAAAATATCAAAGGTTTAAAATATCTGTGTTGATGAAAATTCTAGTAGACGGATGTCAATTTTAATGCATAGAAATTCATGACAAATACAGTCACTATCAAAAATGGACAGTTTGATCGGTGGTAAGTGATATGGTACAGATTATCCATCCAACACTTGGCTCTTGATTTGATGGCCTAAACTTTCAATTTTTGGGATAGTAGGACTGAGAAAAATGTTTTTTCTGTTTTGATTTTGTTCTCAGAAAAAGCATGCACGCATTGTTTCTTATCATTGAAAAAAATCGCTTCAATTCTGTGAAATCGGACCGGATTCTCCCATCTCCATTCTCTATTCTGTCCTGATTTCTTAATTTGGAAAATAAATTTAGAAAAAAAAAATGGATGACCTAATGTCGGAAGATGTGCAGAAAAGTCGTGAAAACAGGAAACCCATTCTGTTCTGATTTATTCAAAGGTTCGGCCTAAATTTATTGGAAGTCCACCTCTTCGAAAACAAAAAAAAGGCTTTTTTATCAGGAGATAGATGCGTTCATTAATTCGTTTGTTTTTGAAATCGATGTGGAAGGTGACATATTCTTTTCTTCGACAGTTTTTAACATCGTTTTCAAGTTAGGATTGAGTGAAGTTTGAAGATTTTTGAGAAAAGGACAAAGAAATAGCGAATTTCAAATAGATCGTAGCGTTCAATTTTGTTGTTGTTTATTGTAACAGAAAAGCCCGGGAATGATTTGCAGTTCTGTTAAGGCTGAAAAGATTTTGAAAATATGGAAGACTAATGAATGAATCGTTTAGCAAATGTGACGAGTGTTATTTCATAATAATATTTATTGATAGGTATGAAAATGCATAAAGTGACATTCTTAGCATCAGGAATAAGTGGTATATCATTGGTAGTATGCCTTCTTGCTATCTTAATGATTTACAACGATGTACAAAAAGCATGGAATCATCTGGATTCAGAAATCAGTACATTCAGAGTATTTTTTCTAATATTTTAAAACAGAATATGTCAGGCTTAAAATTATTATTAATTATAGCTCTATTCTCAGATATAGTATAAATCATTTCTCTATGAGCGCACATTTTATTGAGCCTTCTATAAAATTGACATGAAACCGATCGTAATGAACGGAAAAATATTGTAAAAGATAAATATCTTATTTGAATTGAATATGAATGAGATCATTAACTTTTATACTTTGAACGAAATATGAATTTTAAGAATAAGTAACATTTACTGAGTTTTAGATAACAACAGATGATTTATGGAAAGATATAATGCAACTTGGCTGGAAAAAGCGATTTCGACGACAGCATGGTGACACGAATGAATATGATAGCGGTAACAGAGATAAATCAACCGTAATTTCGTTTCAACCTGAAACTACAACAATGGGAAATCATGACGGCGCACGTTTTGATCAATACGAAAGTCTGACTGGAATTGCGATTGGCCCAAGTTCAACACCTTCCTTTCCTGAGCGATCAAATTTATTTGGTCCATCCAAGAGCAATAATGGCAAATGTGGCATGTTTTTTGAATTTTGCAGTTTTTTTATTGATTAAATTGCTGTTAATCCTCTATTTGCAGAATGTCGTATCGATAATAACTGTCCAGCAGGTTTGCCGGGTCCCAAAGGAGTACCTGGTCATAAAGGTATTAACAAAAGACCATCGGATTTTTCCTGAAAAAATTCAGATATTTGTGATAGACCAATAAATTTAACTGGTTGATTTTCCAGGAGAAGATGGACTACCAGGTGAGGATGGTAAGCCTGGTGCCGATGCGATGGATGTTGAAAAAAGCCAAACTATGGCAGGTTGCTTCAGATGCCCAGCGGGTCCTCAGGGTGCACCAGGAGCTTTGGGACGTCCCGGACCACGTGGATTAAGTGGAAACAAAGGTCGAGCTGGTTTACCAGGACGAAATGGGAGAACTGGTCTACCTGGGGAGCCTGGACCACCAGGACGCCGTGGTAATCGGTTGTTTAAAAATTATGAAACAATCTAATCTAACAATCTAACAATCACTAAATTGAAAAATTTAGTGCTTAATTCTTGGAGCTTTTAAAAAACTCAACAAATTATAAAATTAAATTGTTTCAGAATATTAGAATTCCGAGATTTTAATATGAATGAAAAGTCTGACTAAAAATGAAGATGAAATTGTAACATTTTAGGTGCTGACGGACCAGCAGGACCACATGGTATGAAAGGGAAAAATGCAGAGCATCCGGTAGGTCTCCCTGGCTTGAAGGGTGAGCCGGGAGTACCAGGGCCAAGAGGACCACCTGGAGTTAATGGCCGTAATGCTCCACCCGGCGTTACTGGTCCTCCAGGACCACCTGGTTAGTTTATGAATCATTTACAAAGGAATTTTTAATTGACTTTAAACACTGTGCAAAGAAAACATAGTAGCTTAACAGTCGTTTTCAGCATTCTAAAATTTTAGGAAATCCTGGACCTGAAGGGCCACAGGGAACCATCGGACCAACCGGTGAAGTTGGACTTCCAGGACCGCCAGGAAAAGATGCTGAAGTGAGTATTTTAATGCTCGTTGACAATTCATAATTTTGTTATTTGGAATGAGATTCCAAATCTTACCTAACATTGCAAACATATATATTGCAATGAAGACTAATTTCTGCAAAATTTTCCCCATATATCAATTCATTATTCAATGGATATTATCGGAATATTATCCGAAATTTCAGGAAATTAATCAGGTTTCTTGAACTTCAATTGATTGAAAATTTCAGTACTGTCCATGTCCTAAACGTCAGGAAAGTGCGAATGGCTATTCAAAACAGAAATGAAGAAAATATGATACTTTATGATTTTCTAACTTTAAAATGGTTGACCTATGTAAATTGAAATTGATAGGAATAAATATATTTTCCGTCGCAAGCAGTCATCAGGGATAGTTCATATTTCTATAAATGTTATAGTAAAAATAAAGAAAAAGTGAAATAATATTTCTCGAGCAATAATCGATCATAGCGAAAAGATTTTTATAGTAAATTATGCGGAAGATGAAAATGTACATATTTCATAAATTTGATGAAAAAATGGTCGACCTTTCTAAAAAGAAAAAAATTCCAGAAGGCAACAAACATTTGCATAAATGATTATTATCATTTAAGGAGTCATTGTAAAATTTTGCTTGTCATATTCTCAAATTAAGAAGAAAGCAGCCTAGTGCTCTCTCCTAATCATAAATTGTAAGAGAAGTAAAGAAAGAGACTACTAGTCCATGAAATTGTTGAATAGATGTTTGAAGTTGATGAAATACCGGATAATGTTTGTGGTGTCATTGGGAATCGCTATGTAATTGCAGCGCCTGTTGATGAACCGATTAAGAAAGCATTCATGCATTTTCATTTGTATGACGATTTTCCAAAGAGCGAAAAAGAAAAGGTTGTAGTAGCCGTTTGTTACTCAAATTTTTATGATAAATTTGAAAAATTAAATTGAAATCGATTAGAACAAAAAAATGATAATGTTAATTTAATGGGAGTTAGTCCGTAAACGTGAGATAAACATTTCTTGCAATCTTGGATTATTTAACACAAACGAATCAATTCCATTAAATCCATTAAATTCAACTTCTATAACGGCTTCAGTGATAATAAAACCATATGATTTGAATCAATCAATAATTATAATATTGCAATTTAGCAAATATAATAAACATTTCAAATGAAAAATGGGGAAAACTAACAAAGCTACTTGTTGTTTAAAAAAAATCAACCAAACAAATATAGTATATTTTAGCCATTGTATGCGATGATTGGTTACAATGCGAAATCATATGGACCAATACATGTGTCTATTAAAGTGCTGGAAACAGTTGAGAACAGAAGTGCACATTTTCCAGAAATTGTTCAACGAGGAAAAATTGAAAAAGTTCAGTTTTCATATCTCATTTCCGGTATGAAAAGGAATTCGGAAGTGTGACGGAAGTGTTTTAGGCAAACCTGCTACGTTTGAATTCTGATAAATAGGAGCAAAATTTTATAGTATAAGTAAGTATTAAAGAAAAATCATTGAATATCTGAAAGTATTTTAAGAAATCCAGAAATTCTCTTGTTTAAATGATATTATGATATGATATTATGTTCACCTAACCCTATCCTCATTTAAGTAGAACATGCATAACGGATGTTGCATATACTATATATGCAACAGTATGGATTCAAAATTGAAATAAAAAATTGAAAAATTAAACATTTCTAGACTTAGTGAGTAAAAGTTCATCTTAAAGTTAGTTATAGACTAAAATTATTTTAATTAAAATATTAATTGATAAGACTTTAAATAATTTACAATATATGCTTAAGACTCTTGAAGACTGTTACACTTCAATATTATCCACCTGTTATCAGCAAACTCATCAGGAGATGAGGAATATAAACTTGAAAGGTATGATATAATTATAGCTTTATTTTGGAAGCGAAGGAGAGCAAGAAGTGGAACACGATCCGGAATATGGAGGTCGACCATTCGTAATCGTTAAATACGACGCTACACCGATATCGGTGTTATCCGTTTTATCACCAGAAAAGTAATTTCCCTTTCACTTCCATTAGTATGTATCTATTTAAGTTGTAAGTTGATAAAGTTAGCTTTAAATTTTGAAATAATGTAAACATTTGTTTCATATATCATTTTATATTAATCAAAATTAACGAACAGTATAAAAATTTCCATATTATCATATTCAGGAATGTGTAGAATACAGTCATTGATTGTTATTTTGCTTCACCGGATATTTTCCTGATCACATCAGTTATAAAACTCTCTCATTTATCTAAACAATCAATAAATCGCAGAAGCTTAATTTAAAGTTAGAAGCTTAAATTTGGAATTTTAGCTTTAAAAAATAATTTCGTGCTAAAAATTATAAATTTTTAATTAAAAAAATTTTTCAACTTTTGCATTTGTCTCGCTCTTATGTCATTTTTACGTTGAAAATGTATTTTCAATCATGAAAAAGTTTAAATTCAATTAAATTCGCATTTGTGCTTACAGATTTTACTATAATTAATAAGAAATTTTTATCTGTTCATTAATTTTAATTATTATAAAATGACATATTATTCGATGTTTACATTATTTCAAATTTTGAAATTAAATTTATTATAATTGATAAGTATAATTGATAAGCTAGAAATGTATGAGATAAATAAGCTTCCTCTATTGAATCTCTTTCAAAAAATCTGATAGATTAATTTGATTTCAAAATTTATGAATTATTGAAAAGATACAAAAGGTATCATTCAAAAAACGTTGCAAAGATACTTTTTACTGAAAGTTATAATTTTCTTTAAAAGAATATTTCCGGGCATATTTGCCATATCCGAAATATTAATTCCTTATAAATTGCTTATCATTTCAAAAGCATATAAGTTTAAAGCAAAGGAAGAAATAAAAATTAATTAAAAATTTAAATTCAACATTAAAAGATAATTTCATTTAAACAACGTACAGAGTATCTACAACTTCTTTACCAATCATTTGTTAAGTTTGTATTAAAATTTCATAATTTGTCTAATGTATATTTTCAAATTATTTTTATTAGTATATTTTGGAAAGAGATGAGACGAGAATTTTGATGAAATAATTTATAAGCATTTATTTTATTTATTCAAACATTTTATTTACTTATTTTAACTTTATAGTTTTTGTAGGAAAGAAAAAAACAAAAGAAGAGAAGAAAATATTTTTTAGAAAAGTTTGAAAATTTTTTAGAACAATACCAACCGTATTAGCCTTAATGATCGGTCTTGGATGTATTCGAGCATTGGCAGCTCTAAATCGTGCTGGTTTTGTGCATCGTTTTGTGTCACCGTATAATTTCGCTATCACAAATCCATTAACAAAAAAAAATATCATGGATAAGATGATTATCACAGATTTTAGTGCTGTTTTACCCTGGCCATGCAAGTAAATGTTATTTTTAATCAATTTATAGAATAGATTGCTGATAAGCTTATAGATGATAAGATTGCGATACTACGAAAAAAACTTGAAGATATCAAGTTTAATAAAATGACTTATTTTGGTATCACAGATATTAAACTTCCAATTTTAGGCCACGCATATTTGTACCATTTATTGGTTCTTATCGGTACAGCTCTGTAAGAGCACATTGGGGACGTGAACAAGGTCCTTCAGATGATATCATATCAGTAATTTATATGGTTGCTGAAATGTTACACGGAAAGTATGCTTTTTCAATAGTCTTTTCAGAAGCAATAAGATAAGCAAAGATAGATCCATATCACAATATAGATTAGATTAAGATAAGATCTTCGAATGACCTAAAAAATACTTAATAATTTGTGTTATCTTAATCTTTCTGAAAATTAGGTATACTCTCTGCAACACACGATAGTTAGATTTATTGTACATGATTTATTTCAGAAAAAAATTTTAGTAAATTAAAAATTTGAAACGGTTACATCAATGTTTCAGATTACCATGGCGATCGCTAATGGATGATGAGGATCGAATTTGCTACATTAAAACGTATTTTTACAAAACAAAAGCTTTTAAAAAATTGCCACGTCAGTTGCGACAGATTTATCGGTTCGTTTTTTTTGACTAAGTCAAAAATGATAATACTATTTGAGAAGTAAAAACTTACAGTAACTAAAACAGAATTTTATGGATCTTAAAAATAATAAAAGGTTTTGCAAGAGAAATGTGACTAATTAAAAAAGGTAATTAATATGGAAAATGAGTTCCATTAAGATGGTGTTCTTGATTTCGAATATTCTCGAACTACTTTTTAAGTGTTCAATTTGAATAGTTACAGAGAAATGCTCTCGAAAACAGGTTCGGCAGCTGTTGACTTTAAATTTGTCATTGAACTGTTCAAAAAAGCGATTGATAGCAGAGATCACAATAATAAGTTTCAAATACCAAAATGGCTTTTCTATAATCAAAGCACTACTTCTTGAAGATTATGAATTATTATTGCACAATGAAATGAAAGTTATTCTATTTCTAATTTTTATAAAAATTTAACGATTGCCATTAATTAATTAATGACGTAGCATACACAAAGAGAAATTTCTCTATTAAAAAAATTAACTGGAAACGAAAATGCGAAGAATCCTAGGAAATTTTCTCTGAGCATACAAAAATAAAAGAGATCTTCTGTAGACTTAACCCGATTAATCGTTTACTGAGAATAAGCAAGAAGACAAAGTAACTTTTACCACAATAAGTTTCAGTAATTACCCTTTTCAGGGTAATTACTGAATTACCCTTTTCATTTCGTTTCAGTAATTCTGCAGAATGCTTGGCCACTTACCTTGATGAATAATAGATGGATGAATTTAATTTTTGGATGTATTTCATTTTACTCAATTGAAAAGAGATAAAAAATCGAATGTAGTTAATCAGGTTTATTTAATAATCTATATATGAGGTAAAGATGCATTGACATGGAACAATTCTCGTCTTGCGACGATTATTCATTGAAATCTTATCATCTTTCATTATGATTATTATGTTCAAAATTGAACTTTAGCTAATCTGCTTCAGAAAAGTTCAAATTGAACAAAATTAAAATTTCTGACCAATAATACGAGAGCTTCAGATAAATGTGATTACTGGAAATGGAATTAATATTTTAAAAATGGAACAAATATTTCTAAAAAAAATTAACATAAAAAATTGTTGGATGATTGATCTATGGATATATTTGGCATTAAAATTATTCTATTGATACGATTAAGATTCATAAAAAAATTACCTTTACGTGGATATAATAGCAAATCATTAACATACATGACAATTTTACATCGTCGAAAAAATTTGCCACAGATTATGGAACAAAAACGTAAATGAAAACTTTGGTAATACTATCTTTACAGAATATCAACTTAATCATTAGTACTACCATTCCGTGGATGCATCAACAGCATCGACTTATTGTCGCTTCCTATCACTGTGAAGAAATATTTAACCAATATTGTCAACTTATAGGTGCATGCCATATTATTTCACTGTTTTACCGTTAAAAGAATTATTAATTATTAGCAATAAATTTCTCAAGGCAATAGAAAATATCTTGAAATTAAAATGGTTCGTATTATTACATATGTAAAACCAGACTCAAATATTTCTCTAATTCAAAGATAAGCTTCAACGCAGTATTTGTCTGAATGATGACATTAGATGATCGAACCAATTTTCCATCCACAAGTCCACTATATCAAAAATGCAATCATGAATATAAAAATTAGAAACCAATGAAATCCAATTCTGGAGATTATCAATAAGTAATAAATAATATTCACTCTTATTGGGATTGAGAGTTTTTCGCAGACACCAAAATATTTGAAAACATTTGTTATATAATTCTGGCGATAAAACTATTCCGCTAACCTGAAATCAACTGCATAACTTTCAGAGTTTTTTTTTGTATGGTACTATTATTACCCATAAAATTCAAACCAACTCAAACGTTGGAAAGCAACGTAATGTGTCTGCCAATTGTTTGTTATTTCACCTTTCAAATATTAAAATAATTTATCAACATCAACTACTGCAAATATAAAAAGTTGATTTTTCATTAGGCAGCTGGAAAAAATAAGTTGAAATATAGAAAAGATTCTGCAAGAGCTTGAAGAAAGTAAAAAGATATTTGTTAAAAGTTTTCAAGGTACATCACAGGAAGATTTTGAATAACAATTTTTTTCACGCCACACCTTAATAACAGTTTATAGGATAGTTTGAAATATGAAGGAAAGGATGTTTTAATAAGATTAGAAAGTGATCCACCAGATCAACTAAATTTAGCAAGTCTTCTTTTCAGTTAGTCAGATAATGGTAGATACCAAGAATACATTTTTAACAGAAATTGAGATAAATTCAAAAGAAAGAAACATAACTTGACAAGAACATGTCGAGATCAATAATAGTGGAGCAAAACTTCAAAATAAATAATATGCATTTTGATGAATTTATTCACAAAAGTTTTCGTTTTCGTAGTAGTTACAATCATTTATTTGCTGGTCGGTGGATCTAATCATTTATTACTTTTCAAAAGTTATCGAATTAAACCAAATTTTTGAGCGTATGTATCGATTCTGTGAATTATGGGAGTGGAACCACCGATTGGAAAGAATTCAACTTCCCAGATTAAATCTAACCGACGCATTGATTGCCCAGCGCTTTTCGTTCGTAGCGTGCCTTCCTTTCGCCGTGCTGAATCTTTACTTGCGCGTGCGTCCTGAAAAAAATTGTTCGATTTTAATTTTTCGAATTTAAACTTGAAAACCAATTTTATTTAAAAAATTTAAGAAAGAAGCATAATGCTTATGCTGGAGGGAGTTGAAAAACGTAGAATAAATGAAACAATCCTACCAAAACGAAATCATTTAATTATGATGAGAACCTATCCAGTGATCAACGTGAATAAAGGGCAAACGTGCAAAAAGATAGACATATCGATTAAGACTGAGCATAAAACGAAACATCTAAATCTCAGAGTAAACAAAAATGTTCAAGACTTCGATGAAACTGACAAGTGCTTCATCCGGAGTCCAACCAATCAGTTCTACAAGAAATTTATGTGACACGAGACACGTTAAGCACTCATAACTTTCGTCGCTTAGTGCCACAGTCAATGCCCATAATCCATCATTGTTTACATGTAGCGGTTCCAATGGTTTTGTTTCCATTACAGCCTGTAAAGAGAAGAGACTATCAATGATATATGTTAGTAACATTTGACTGCATATGAAAAAAAAACGACGAAAGAAGAGGGAAGCTTATACATTACCATGAGTTTATGCAATAAAAGTGTGAAACACAACCCTTTAGAAAAGCTAAGATTTGAACAGCACAATTTAATTTACCCCCGGTTAGGGTCAAGATAATTTAAAATACTTTGGTTTTATAATTTACGTACATCCAAAATAATTTACATAAATTTTAAGACAGTTTATATATTATTATGTAATCCATAAGCAGATTCCACAACTGAATAATCAGATAAAGCTAAAATTTGTGTTCTGAATTTATGGTATTCATTATCCGCTTTCAGCTTGCACTAAAAATGAGAATGTATTCAACAAATCATGAATTTTTAAAGCGTAATCAATCTTACAGCCAACATTTTACGCCTCGGTCCGACAGCATATCGCATTGCCCGTAATGCTGCTGCAATCGAATCAACTCCAAGCCTTTTATAAGCAACAACAACTGGATCATCAATCATTTTGGGTGTCGTGGGTAAGTTAATTTTTTTCGGATTGCCTGCAAAATATTACACATTAGTCTTATATGGATATTTCGGTTCCAAACCGGTTTCATCAAAAGAGAATATGTTTCAAGTTACTGCAAGGTTGAAGATAGTGAAAACAGTTCATAGATAAAGCAGCAAGTGCATAAATTTACATTGAGACAGGAACGAAAAAATAGTATTACTAAGGATTACAATAAGCTAACTTTCTTTTCAAACACCAGCACCCTCAACTCATTAATTCGCAAAAAATTTTTAAATAACAGAAATTCATACTTTCTTCTCTTGTTTCCTGCTTTATTGATGTTGGAGTTCCGAGAAAGATGATATCGGTTTCATCGTCAATCACTTCTCTGCAAAACTCATCAGTAGTTAAAATTAGAAAAACTTATTTGATAAATAAAAATGTCGAAAATTGTGGACTTTACTTTCCATAAAAATGAGACAAACGAAAACTCAAGCAACATTGAGTGGTGGTTAATTCGTATTTAAAAGACCTGTCATCAGATTTCAAATATCATCGTGTTGCGGAAGAGACTTAATCAAAGATTTAATTTTTCAATGTGTTTGAATCTGATAATTCATCTTGCCCACATACCTCTTGCAATTACATTCTCTTCAAACTGTTCTCATTCATTTACCATTTTTAATGAAACTGACATTACAAAGTTATCTTAAGTATGGATATACAAATGATATGGATAATCAAAACCATTCCTTTTAACAATAAAATATTTTCAACACACTTTTTCACCCGTTTGGCAAGTGCAGTATGCGACGGCAAATTCTCTGAGCGTTTCGTCGTTGAAGCAGCGATTGGCGTCCTACTGCCCGAACTACTAGGATTTTCATTCAGCGAAATGTTTATTCGTTGCTGAAACGATAAAACCAAAATATCAAAATTTTCAAATTAATTGATTTACCTAAGAAAACGTTAAATATCAAATTTAACAACCTTAATGCTGTTCACCGCTCGTTCAATTCGCAAAGTTTTGCTTGTAGATACTACTTTTCGCTTCGGGGTTTCTGAAGGCCTGAAATGACACCAGAACTCATTTGGTCATCATATATATGAGACTCCTGCATTAGAACTAAAACAAACAATCTCGCATTATAATTCGGAATTTTGTTTATATCTTTAATCTGCAAACACTTAATTGCCTTTCTCCAAAACCCAATTCGAAATTTTAAACAGTGGAATAGACATTCTACCATTTATTAATTTTATTTGAATACGATAAGACACAAACACATTGGTGTCGAATATGTTAAGAAATATAAAAAGGATAAAAATGTGCAAAAAATGTAAATGACCAAAAAAATATCTAGTAGTTAAAAAAGACTTTAAAAAAGTAGCAATAGATGAAATGAAATTAATCATGAAATAACAATGAAAAGTTTGTGCGAGAAAGTCATAAAAACCAAAACCTAAGAAATCTATAAAGAAATCCAACTTACGGTTTTTTACCCGAAAGTGGCTTCACCTGCATTATAGGCTTCATATTAGGCTGTGAAAGAGAAATATTGTTAGTCTTTGGACCGTTGTCACTGAAATTATTTTCTCTTTATTAATATATACTTAAGAATCTGTAGTTACTCGTATTCTTTTCTTCTAAAATACCCATAAACCATTCTCAATTTGAAAATGCTCTTATCACTGAGTACTTTTAGTTCTTTTAATGATGTCAAGAATATGCATAAATAGATACTTTAAAGATCAAAAACTTGGCTACAGATTTCTTGAATAAAAATAAATTGCTGAGAAGCACCAACTGATTAATTTCTTTTTCCGTCTTGCTTAAAGATACGAAGCTTTGTCTTTGCAGTGAGACACCAATATTCAAACGTTTCATCATTATTTCAACTGGACGGCCGATTTTCATGAGTAAATCGTCATCACCACCTAATACTATGCAGTTCAATTCGGTAAGCAGTAAAATACCACGTCGAAGGCACACACTGTTTGTTAGCAGAATCTTAAACAAGAGAATTAGTATTTATCAAAAAAAAAATTAAGAGCTCTTTATTTACAACAATATTATATCACCCATAAATATTTCAACATCGGTATGTCAATTTTGGAAATATTTGAGGAAATAAAATAAGATAAAACCTTATAACAACTAATACCAATTTATACAATTTATAGCCTATAATTAAAAATCTACCTTGCATCCTGGACATGTTAGGAGAGAAAGCGCACTTAACGGACCATATTCCACGGCCTTCATTGATAGTTGGCCGTCTGTTACTTCCATCGAAAGCATACGCTTCGCATTCTGCTAAAAGAATGAAGATCTTTTAATTTGATTCAGAAATAGGAAGCCAGACAATAACCCAAATTAATGTTACAGATTAAACAATTCAACGTGATCAATAATTTGCAGAATGTCTTCATTTTCGCATTATATAGGTCGTTCCTAGTTAACAGTTGTTATAATCATTCTATCAAAAGATATATCAAGTAATAAAAAGTTCTTAAATACTGTTAAAGTTCATTTCAGCTAAAGAACAGCTAATCACCAAGTTTTTATGAAAAA